TCTGATTACACGCACATCTCCAACGTTTTGTGGACTCGACCACCAACATGCCTCCTCATCAGAAGAGTGGACAGAGAACGCCGAAGTCCCTGCGGCACCTGAGGTCGAGACAACGGCTCCAAGGAGCTCAGCAGCTGTGGCTGACTACGCATACATCTCCATCCACCACTGTGCAAGTTAATTAATTATCAAGTCAATGAATTGTGTGGCGTTGTAACATATAACATTATATAATTTAAATAATAGAATGATGCAACGCCACATAACTGGGAAACTTTGTCTTGTAGCCCCTCAGAAGCAAGATCCAGCACCAAGCACCAGCCATGAGCCCACAAGTCCAGAGTGGACACTACTTATTTGAACAGAATATAGATTCTGATATTGTTGAAAAGGATGTTGAGTTGTTAAGAATAATGTTGGAGATGTTTTTGAAATAAATCTACATTGTGAAGCAACCCTTACTTGCACTGAATTGAAAATATTTTAGAAAAATACACTGAATTACAAGGCTTTAGAGAACAGTGCGCTATTGTAGACTAAACATGTAAAGTTATAATAGATCGTGATCTAAAGTGGGCCGGTCTGAGGCATGAAACTCCAGGGCTGAAAATGAGTCCCACTCCAGCCCTGGCAGCAATAAAATGTTTACAGCCTGGTACAAAAAATATTTTGGTCTCTACAGCTAATTTCAACATTCATGATAACTGTACGGGAGGTGAATTATTATATAACTCACCCATTATAATGGATTAAGGCTTTAAGTTATGCATCATTAAGGGCAGACCGCTTCGAGTCAGAGGTAGGATCCACCCCTTGCACCTCCACAGCGCTACCCTCTCGCCCAAATATGGCCACCTCTGGCTCCAAAAACCAAGATGGCCACAGCTGAAATGTCAAACTCGAGGCTTCAAAATGAGAGTTCATAAACCAATGGGTGACATCACGGTAGCTACGTCCATTTTCTTACAGTGTATGGTTTAGCTGCTCTTCTCCGAAGAATCAAAAGGCCGCAGCTTGATAGCAGCTTGCCGCCGGCCGCACTTTGCCGCTGCTTTGCGTATTTTTCCAGCATAAAAGTTGAAAAGGTTAAAAGGAGCAGACAAATGGTTCATATGGCAAAAATAAATTGCTGAAATTAGCTAATTAGCTAAAAACAAAAGTAATGGATAAAAGATTGAAATGTCCAGTGTAGCTCATCAGATGGTAGTAGTACAAATGCAACACTGAAAGTTCAGTTACAAAAAAAATACTGGGACAATTACCACTTTTAAACAATAATAGTGCTAAACATCCAGCACTGTGCCATTTATATAATTTCGCGTTCTGTGTTTCTCACCTCCTGTCTGGTTGTCAGAGCCCCAAAAGTCCCCACCTCTTCACATAGCAGAGGATACCAACACACACACACACACACACACACAAAGGCTCGACCACAATAAAGGCCCTGATCTCGGCCAGACCACAAGCTGAAGGTCATTCTATCGACCCGTTATTCTCTATCATGACAATCTGTTCCTAAGTGCCACAGCTGGAGCCCCCCACACACTCTGCTGCCTCCTCTGATAAGACCAGACTCTCTTCATTGTCCGATAACATAAATATGACACACCAACACACCATCTGAGAGTCCCTGTCTGCACCAGCCAGCCTAATTATATAATTATCCCTTGTCTGATTGTGTCTGTGCAGCTGAGACGAGGGAGGGCCTTTGTGTGGCTGGTGGAATGCGGTGCGCTTGGCATTTTTCAGCAAAAGGGCAGCTTTCTGGAAGCCGCTGCCAAAGGAGAGGAGAGGAGGGTGAGATCACGGCTGCTGGTGCCCACTCTTCTCTCTTCTCTCTTTTCTGCCTCTATCAATCACTCCATCTTCCTCTTGCTTGTCTTTATATCTGTCTCTGGATCTAGCTGTCGCACTTCTGGACAATCCCATCTCTCTTCTGTCATTATCATCCTGTCACTATCCCGCATGCCCCTTCATCTCATTCTCACTAACCATTTCTCCCCAACACTTAACTCGCCGTTCCTCTCTGAACCTCCAAGTATGGCAGATCCAGCTGTCTTGCAGATAATGTGGCCTTTCGAGATGGAATGTGCAGGATCTGGCTCCGCGATGATAAGAGCTGACAGACTGTTTCAGAGAAGCCGAGCGGCGATGTCTGATAGTGAACTTGGAGGCGACTGCTCCGCCGCATGATAGGAAAGCGTTGGTATTGTTTCTAGCGGCGAGCTGTTGAGGGGATAAGAGAGACTAGCGCACGAGCAGGTGTTGGGAGAGATTACAGCATAGGCCTAGAAAGCATGCACCTCTTTCTTGAATCAAAGTCAAAAGCAACAAGGCGGGCGTCACATAAACCATGCTCTCCTACACCACAATAGAGGATCCAGACCTTTCTTCTGACATTTACATCAAGGGCCTCCCAGCCTTTGCACGTCGCTACAGGTGATTTTATGAGTTTTATTACTTTATCAGACGCCTTTTATACTCACTAATGAAAACAGCAGGGCCAAGGGTGTTTTGGCGCCAACACTTTCCCTCTGAATTCCTCCGTATGAGCTGCTGTATAATTCAAGAACACATTGTCATTGCAGCAAACTTCACCAAGCCAGATTGCACTTTTAAAGAAATAATCCATCTGAGGTGAACTCATGTGTCAGATCCTTTAACAAGTTCTCAAAACGTTTTTCCCAGTGCACATTTTGGAGTCACTTGCGTCACAAGAGCAATCTGAAGTTCATGTTGCCAGTCAGCTGCAGTGAACAAGTTTATCAGAGACCCGAGACAGCGTTGTCAAGTGTAAAATCTGCATGCTGTCTGCAGCAGAAACACCGGTAACCAACAGCACTTCAGAAATTCCCATAGAATTCCGAGCTGTCCGTCTGATCCCAGTGCCCGCTCGTCGAAACCCCCCTCTGGTGATCACACAGCATGGAGTATGTGAAAGAATGCTGCCGGGACATAGCAGGACACTGGGGGCCCAGTATTCCCAGCTCAAGCTTCACAAGCCCTTGGTGGGGTTTTTTTTCTTTAATAACATCAATAAAAGACACAAACAAAAGTGAAAATTTGATCACAAAGTACGTATAAAAAGGCAGTGTCAACAGACCCCAGGACAATATGTTTAAATAAACAGAGAAGCTGGATGAGAGAAATAGTTTGAGAGCCAGAGCCAAGAGTAGGACCTCTCCCACTATCGGCATGGCTGTGAGAGCTCCATTGTTTTGTCCATCTCAAATAGCCCTGACAAATTGTGCTGAATGTAGAACCTCTGTCTAAACTAGAGGCATCTTCCAAAAACATGCTGGCACGGCGCCACAGCTCTATTTTCCCATCATCAGCCAGCGTCACTCCACAGCGCCCCTGCTGGTCAGTGCTGAGGCTGTGAAGGATGGAGTATATGCATTTTTGGCTCAGAGCTTTCATTAGTAACTTCAGCAAAATCCTTCAAAATAAAAGCCTATATATATATCAAATAGTGGGTTACAGTTCTCATCATGTATTATGTCATTAGGACTCTTTTTTCTCATGCTAACAAAACTTTTCCTGCACACCTCCATCCTCCTTTTCTATTCGCCTTCCTCTATTGTATTACCCAGCTGACAGGTGGAGAGTGAGGCAGAAAAAGACCAGACTTTTCCTGGTATTCACTCTCAATGCACAAATCATGAGCTCATGTCAGATTCTAAAAATTAAGACTTCTATCTGGAGCATAGAATACCATACTGAGAGAGGGATGAAGGGGTTTATGGGGAACAAATAACAATATATGCACAAGTGATTAATCTGCGAATGAATTGTTTCTATATAGTTCCATTGTAAAGAGGGATTATTGAAGAGACAGTCAATAGGATTGACAGGCAAATGGTGCCCCCATGTGGTAATATACATTTATTGCCGTATAGGCCAAGACAAGTTTTATGATCTCAGTCCAATTACACACAGCTTCCACTATTTTTAGAGCACAGTATCAGTAGTGCAATATCTATACTTCCATCAATGATTTCCTTATTATATTGCTTTGTGTTTTTATACTTTTTGCTTATTATACTGCTCCTTGTTTTTGCGCAGTTCACTTATTTTACATACTTATATATTGCTTGCTGTGGGACAAATAAAGGTTTATCTGATCTCACGCCCCATCAGTGAAAGCCTGATTCAATGGCGGAGAACCCTGCAGAGAAAGTTGTTATTCCAGGCAGCAACAACTGCCTGCACTGCAAAGCAACCTAAAAAAGGAAGACGGGCTTATTAAAAAGAGTCTAAAAGAGAGTCTGATAATAAACAAAATAAAACAACTGTCAATATTGGTGAAGCATTTCAGAGATGGAGAGAAATATTGCTAATAGTTTAGCCTTCTGCTAACCAGAGCTAAAGGCTCAAGGCTGCAGCTTCAAGTTCATGTTTATGTAGCTAACATTAGCAAGAGCCTTGAATCATAGTGTGTCCTCCATCTCACTGCTTGCTGCTGCAGACCACCTTGTGGGAGGAGACCTGGCAGAAGCTCCTGAGACAGCCCCCTAGTAGGTGGCCACAGCAACCCGAATCCAGCCAACGCAAACCCCAGCTCAGGGCGACTGGACGGCCCTGACACCCCCCCAAAAAAGAGGCAGTCAACAGCGGCAGGGAGTGAGGCAGAGGGACGGTTGGGTGGCTAATTAGCCAATTCTTGTGTCATTTGTGGTCTATTAAACACAGAGAGTGGGGAAATGAGGCTGAATGAACATGCTGCACGCAACTGTACAAATTAAATAAGATTAAATAAATCAATGTATAGGAAACGCTGGGTTACTGTATGAAGCACATGCATATGCTGCGGTTGTCTGTAATCAGATAGTCGTTAAAACAATAGTCAGATTATCATTTTAAAGAAACACGTTCTGCACTATCCTCGTGTTGATCATGGAAAGGCAAGACGGCATAAAATGGTAAAGATAATAAATCTTATAAACACTCAAAACAAAGTATGAGATAAGAATATTTAAAAATATCAAAATCCAGTTTTTCTTAAAATATTTACAAATACACTTGTAATGTAAATCTCTCACCATTACATCATTAAAAATATCAAATACAAAATATAATGCGCAGCAAAGTAATATCAGGCATCGTACCTTTAGTAAAGACCAATATAGCAACTGTGGTTAAAGCCCCGAGAAGATTATTTTTATAACTACTTGTATGTCATTTTACGTGTGTGTTTTCAGCTAACTGTATTAACAACGTAATTGTTCACTTCTATTAAGGCAGGGCTGCTCCCAAGAGCCCGTTTCTGTATGGTGAGGTGGTGGCAGTCGATGTGTCTGAACTCAGCTGCAAAAAGTCCAAACAGGAAGAAGAATACCATGACCAGAGCCCATTCACACACAGCAGCCCCAGAGACATAGCCTGTATTGGCGAGAACAGTCACTGAAGGAGGGAAGAGAGCAGTCAAGGAGTGTAACACTAAATAAATGCATGTCTTGGTAAATCAAATAGTAAACATGTTGTAAAAATGTGATTTTTCCCGCTGGTAATCTTATTATTTTCCTTAAAATAATAAATGAATGGTTGAAAATACTTGCTAAAACGTAGCTAACATTTTTAACCATTTGTACATGACTTTTAGCCTTAACGTATTGAACGATTGGTTGAAAGTAAAAGCTAGAACTTAGCTAACATGTTAAACCATTTATACTTTACTTTTAGCCTAAAAGTAATGAACAAATGGTTTAAAATATTAGGTAGAACTTTGCTAGCATGTTAAACCATTTATACTTTACTTTTAGCCTAAAAGTAATGAACTAATAATTGTGAATGATGGTTAAAAAATATAAGCTAGAACTCAGCTAACATTTTTTTTTTTTTACCATTTATAGGTTACTTTTAGCCTTAAAGTAATGAACTATTGATTGTAAATATTAGCTAGATCTTAGCTAACATGTTAAACCATTTAGGTTATGTTTAGCCTAAAAGTAATGAACCAATGATTGAAAATATTAGGTAGAACTTAGCTAACATGTTAAACCATTTTGGCCTAAAAGTAATGAACTATTGATTGTAAATATTAGCTAGATCTTAGCTGACATGTTAAACCATTTAGGTTATGTTTAGCCTAAAAGTAATGAACCAATGATTGAAAATATTAGGTAGAACTTAGCTAACATGTTAAACCATTTATAGGTTACTTTTAGCCTAAAAGTAATGAACTAATGGTTGAAAACACCGCTAAAATTTAGCTAACATTTTAAACCAGTTATAGACTACATTTAGCCTAAAAGTGATGAACTAAAGATTGAAAATATTAGCTAAAACTTAGCTAAAAATTATGACCATTTATACATTATTTTTAACCTAAAAGTAATGAAAGAATGGTTCAAAATATTAGCTAGAATTTAGCTAACATTTTCAATCATTTATACATTACTTTGAGCGAATGGTTGAAAATATTAGCTAGAACGTAGCTAATATTAGCTAACAGTAAAAGTAATGAACTAATGGTTGAAAATATTAGCTAAAACTTAGCTAAGTCTTTAAACCATTTAGAGATTACATTTTGCCTAAAAGTAATGAACTAATGGTTTAATATATGTGCGCTAAAACTTCCCTAACATTTTAAACCATTTATAGATTACTTTTAGCCCTAAAGGCAGATGCAGACAAAAAAAAGTTTGGGGACCACTTAATAATAAATAGCTCTGCATTGTGGTTGCAACAATAAGCATACATTCCTTTTTTATTCCTTTGTATTCCTAATAATCCTTAAATTCCCCACAAGGACACAAGTGTCAATTTAGCTTGGATTTTGTATTTAACAAATTTGTTTGTCTTAATGCAGACTGACAGGAAGGATACTAGCGATGACCAGGCTGGTACAGAGGGTGCAGCAGGTCGCCCTGACGGGCCCGACCCAGAATCGGCCCTGAGACGGCTGAGCCCTGTAGGTTAGAAACAGCTGCACCCAGAAGTAGGCCAGGCCGAAGAAGAAAGCCACGAACGCTCCAAACAGGTGAACACTCCTTACGACTGACTGCTAAGTGGCAAAAGCAGAGGGAGAAGAGAAATTTTTAGTGTGCAAGGATTAATTTTTATGGATTAGAAAAAAGACCACGAAAGAGTTATTTATTATTCTCTATTCATTTTGTAAGCTGTTAACCTGGAAGTTGCCAAGGATGGAGACTGCTGTGGCAGAGATGAATCCCAAAACAATGCTGGCTATGTTGGCCTTTCCATGCTGACCGTAGTCCTTAATCTGCTGGAAACGGATCACCACAATCCACAGGGCTGAGAGATACAGACAGAGAGTGAGATGGTGATGATGGTTAATATGTTACTTGAGATAAATCATGATTTGAGTACAATTTACAAGAAGACAACAAGACCTTTCAATAAATAAAACAGGCATAAGTCCAAGACTTCAAAAGGAGATTTGAAAACTACCACAGCCCTGATTAGTAGCTTTGACTTAATTTTCAAGCAGGTACACAGAGACCTAAGCATATGATGGACAGATCTTAGATAATGACTCCTACTACCGAGAGCTGTATAAATAGATCTGTCATTACCTAAAACAGCACATATGTTGCAGATCTGGGCGAAGAGACAGCTCTGAGGGTTGTGGGTGCCACAGTAACTAACAGGTGAATGAGAGAATAAAAGCATTATCATTCCACAACATGATTAGGCTGAACATTTTGCTGTATCACTTTAACTACTGAGACTTATCATGTCTCAGTGGCATCATACCAACCTGATGTAAGGGAATCCTTCTGTGAGGTTGACTGATCCATTTCTTACAGATAGAGCAAACCTAATGGGAGGACAACAACCACTGATTTATTTATTTATTGTTACTGGATAAACCCATGAATCAAATCATATCATCAGTTATGTTTAGTCATATAACAAGCGGTTTGGGGGTCCTCCGCCAAATAATTCTGAGCATCAAACACGTCATTACCTGAGTTCTGGTGAATTTTTAAGCACTAATTTGTGCCTTTTCTGCATTCATTTATGCTGGAAATGTCATTTATTTTTGTAAAATAAAAGCTCTCAGCTATGAAATCTGCAACTATGCTGCCATGTTGTTTCTACAGGAGTCCATAAAGGACAAACCAAACATTAGCCCTTTTTACACAGAGCTTGTGCTATAGAGCCGCTACAAAGTCCCATCTTTATGCCTCCTTTGCATTTTTACACAGAACCAATCAAGGGCAGCATCATTCCGCTCCAGTGTGTGATTATAGACAGCATCCTGGCATCATGGAATCAAAAGAGGTCTGCCAGGCGTGACATGTAACACAATAGTGTCTTGTGTGACATAAAACATTTAGGTCAACAGCACTTTATAAACAAGAAACATGACATGACAATAACAATCATTTACCATCCCCGTTATATGGTGACTTATCTCGTCCTCTGCTCCAAGGATAAGGAGTTAGCCTCTAACTGCTAAAAGCTGCTTTTTAAATGTATGGTGGTGGGTCACATGCCATATTACTGCCGTGAATAGGCTGTTTGAAAAGGACTGTTGGCTCAAGATGTAGCCTGAGTGTCAGACTGAAGCTCCCAGAACCTTCAGTCTGACATGGCTTCCATTGAAGGCGATTTACAAGGGGGAGGGAATTTTTTTTTCCCTAACCAATCAGTAGAGATCAACAACTCACCCAGAATCTGACGTCATTAGTATCCATGCCTCGGGGGTGCCGAAAATAAGCGAGCATTGCCCGTTTAAAATGTCTCCGTCGTCGTGCACGCCCAGCTGCATCGCCGTTAAATCCAGTTTAGCAGCTTCCTTAATTTGGTCCTCCATTAACGTGAGTAGTGGCGAAATACCTCAATAGCATCGTTAATGTGGTCTGTAGGATCTGTAGCAGTCGCCATTGTTACTATCCTCACCAGTTACCCACTGGCGTACAGCTTGACATCAGCGTGGCGCTGATTGGCTAATCGCTAGACCCGCCCCCACCCCCGGCGTTCATTGGTCCGTCCATCGTTTGGATGATATAAATCGCAAATTCATTGAAGTATGCCAGACCAGAGATGCAAGCCTATTCAGTTGAGTGGGCGGGGTCTATGGTCTGGAACCAGGCTACTCAAGATGAGGTTTTTGCATCAGCCACTGTAGTTTTCCTACATAGTTTCAGTTACTTGCAATCTGCAACCTCACCACTAGATGGCACTAAATCCTATACACTAGACCTTTAATGCAAATTTATTATTACCTTATTCCCCATACCTTTTCCCTTCCACCCACTGGGAGGTAGGTACTGTACTGATAAACCTGTATCCACAACATATCTAGTGTGATTTACAGGCTATTAACCTAAAGCATTACTGCATTAATAAATAACAATATTAGGGTTTTGGGTTTTTTGCAGGTTTTGCTCCCTACTTTCTTCCCCAGTGCTGTAGGATGGAGCTCCTGGTCACAGAAGGTGCAGAAGGTTTTGTTTTAGGTAAGTGGTCTTAATGATACTGACCCACAATCACTGTCTGTGCTTAAGTAGAGTTTACTGTGGACATATGTTGTGTGCTTTATCCATTCCGTTACTAGTTAAGCATATTGGTGTGTTTGTTCCGGACATATCTCCATTATGTTAAACTCAGAACTGAAGAGTTCTCAATAAACATCCCTACCAAAACTCCATGAAAACATGTGGAAAAATTTGCACTGTCCCTTCTTAAATAAACTAAACTGAAACTGAAACAGCAAGAAAGCATTAATAAAGGAAGAAGCTAAATACTCACACAGTCCAAATCCCCGAAGTGCCGAAGACAGCCAGAGAGATAGGGAGCATTGCCCACAGCCACATGTTGCAGGACAGCTGGAGTCCAACAGGAGCTCAACTCTGAGAACGGACATACCTCTGACTGAAAGTTGCAGTGTAAAAATTAAATACTATGTGTGTGAGAGAAGCCGTGTGTACTCACTGGTTGCAGGTTGAGATGCAGCTCTCTGTCAAAACTTTACCTAAAGTAGCTCATTCAATCTTTCCCTTTACCTTAATGACACTAACACGCGATGGGAGCTCACTGCACTTTGTCCTGCTGGAGCAATAAGTCGACTTTGAGTCAGCAAAATATGATATCAAATTATGTGATTAATGCAGGAGGAAGGGTGGAGATTGGAGGGATGAAGAAAGGAAACATATCAAATTTGATAACCTTAAGATTTTAAACAATAAACTAAAAAAACCTTACTTCATTCCCTGCACTGAGAAACACACAGTGGTGTGCTACACTGTCAGGTATGGTAAACGCTTCTATTTAAGGGCTGAGCTGGACTTTGAGCCCGTGTTTTTTCAGATTTACAACCTCTTGAACAAGTTCCTCTCAATTTGAAGAGTGGGTTTCCTCTCCATGGTTTACCTTTTCCTTTCCGTTAACTGAAAGCAAACTGCAAAGGCTATACACTCTAAAAAAGGATGGTTTAGATCCTTTGTTTGAATGGTTTTTAACAATGATCAGTTGTTTAAATGGTTAAAATAGTAATGAGTGAAACTCAGCTATTCAGGTCTTGGTGTGTACAGGTGAGCATCATAAATGTTAAGTAACTCAGTGGTAGATTAATAATTATTTAATTTGCAGTCCTATAATTATGAGTCAGGTTGTAAAAGTGCTCGCAGCACATATGACCTTTGGTTCCTGTCAATAAACGTGATAGAAACATTATCAACATAATTTATTACCACATTATTGTTGATCACGTTGTCAGAAATGAAAACACTGTGACAGAGATGAATTCATTCAACGATTGTTCTTTATTGAGGTGCAGCGTTCAGCACACATCATGATGAAGTCTCGCTATCTTGGCTCCAGTGCAAGTCACTGTATCTGTGTGTGTGCATGAGTGTGAGTGTCAGAGCTCAAGCTCAATCTTGACATCCATCTTGGCCTTGTACGGCTCCAGCAGGGGGCGGACTTCCTCAGACAGGAACCTGGTCACCTGGACGAGAGGATATAGAGGATGTATTACACACCATGAATAGTTCCAGACTTTTACAGACTCAAATTTTCAGAGAGGTCTTGGTAGATTTTCCAGACCACACTTGACATCTGAGTACAAACAGCGAGATGTTTATGTGAATAAATGGTTTGAAAACCCGACTATTAACCTGTTCAGTGCCTTGTAAAAGTATTCACGCCCCTCTTTTACATTAAAACCTGTAATTTAAATGGATTTATATTTGGATTTTCTTTTAATGGGTCGACACAAAATAGTCAAAACTGGTCAAGTCAAATGAGAAAAAAAAATGTTTTACAATATTCAGGAAAAAAAAAAAAGTGGTGCATGAGCTGTTATAGTATGTTTGTTTCTTTTTTGTTATTTTGAAATGAACTCAATTGTTATGAATTATCTGTGAACGCTGCAACTATCTGTTTTGGTGTCTTAACGTATAAACCCATGAGGGTTGGGCACTTTTAGGTGCATGACACGGGAATACAGTCAGGTCCATAATTATTTGGACAATGATACAGTTGTCGTCATTTTGGCTCTGTACACCACCACAATGGGTTTTTAATGAAACAATGAATACCTGCTTAAAGTGCAGACTCTCAGCTTTCATTTAAGGCTTTTTTCAAAAATGTAGTATGAACCGTGTAGGAATTACAACCATTTCTTCACACAGTCCCCCGACTTTAAGGGCTCATAAGTATTTGGACAAACTAACATAATCATCAATTAAACAGTCAGTTTTAATACTTGGTTGCAAATCCTTTACAGTCAATGACTGCCTGAAGTGTTGGACACATAGACATCATCAGATGCTGGGTTTCTTCCCTGGTGATGCTCTGCCAGCCCTTTACTGCAGCCGTCTGCACTTCCTGCTTGTGTTTTGGGTGTTTTGCCCTCAGTTTTGGCTTCAGCAAGAGAAACGCATGCTCAATTGGATTCAGGTCAGATGATGTGACTTGACCATTGCAGAACATTCCACTTCTTTGCCTTAAAAATGTCTTTGGTTGCTTTTGCAGTATGCTTCAGGTCATTGTCCAACTGCACTGTGAAGCATCATCCAATGAGTTTTGAAGCATTTGGTTGAATCTGAGCAGATAATGGTGCCCCAAACACTTCAGCTTTCATCCTGCTGCCCTTGTAAGCAAGACAAGACTTCACTAGAATAAATACAGAGGGTTTATCACAAGATGCAAACCATTGGTTAGCCTTAAAAATGGAAGGCCAGATTAGAGTTTGTCAAAAACCATCTAAAAAGCCTGTACAGTTGTGGAACAGCATACTATGGACAGATAAAACAAAGATCAACTACCAGAATGATGGGAAGACAAGAGAAGGAAGAAGGGAAGGAACTGCTCATGATCCAAAGCACACCACCTCATCAGTGAAGCATGGTGGAGGTACTGTTATGTCATGGCCATGTATGGCTGCCAGTGGAACTAGTTCTCTTGTATTTATTGATGATGTGACTGCTGAGAAGAGCAGCAGGATGAAAGCTGAAGTGTTTGGGGCAACATTATCTGCTCAGATTCAACCAAATGCTTCAAAACTCATTGGATGATGCTTCACAGTGCAGTTGGACAATGACCTGAAGCATACTGCAAAAGCAACCAAAGACATTTTTAAGGCAAAGAAGTGGAATGTTCTGCAATGGCCAAGTCATATCATCTGAACTGAATCCAACTGAGCATGCGTTTCTCTTGCTGAAGCCAAAACTGAGGGCAAAACACCCAAAACACAAGCAGGAAGTGCAGACGGCTGCAGTAAAGGGCTGGCAGAGCATCACCAGGGAAGAAACCCAGCATCTGATGATTAGTTTGTCCAAATACTTATGAGCCCTTAAAGTCGGGGGACTGTGTGAAGAAATGGTTGTAATTCCTACACGGTTCATACTACATTTTTGAAAAAAGCCTTAAATGAAAGCTGAGAGTCTGCACTTTAAGCAGGTATTCATTGTTTCATTTAAAACCCATTGTGGTGGTGTACAGAGCCAAAATGATGACAACTGTATCATTGTCCAAATAATTATGGACCAGACTGTAAAAGAAACTAACTATAGACCAATTTTGGTCACGGCAGTTGCGTGCACATACTGGTGGTAGGCCTGTCGCGATATGTGATATGTCGGTTAATTGCACGGTAAATTAAAAGTGAGACGGTAACTTTTCTGGCCTCGATTAATTGCCATACTCATGCGTATTTGTTTTCCTCGTCTCTCTCCACCAAAGAGACTGGACGACAAGAGCGTTCACTGCCGTGCATCGTCTGGCAGCCAGGTGAATTGGTTCATTAGCGTAATGAACGGAGGGAAAGCTTTTGTCATCGAGTGTCTTTGTCTCTGTGGGGGAGGCGGGGCTATGGGCCACACAAACAGTGCGATCTTCGTGAGGGGGAGACGACGCGGAGAAAAACAAAACAGTTGTGTGTAAGAGAAAGACATGGAACTTGTTCCTAAACCAAACACCACGGCCCCTGTGTGGGAGTAATTTGGATATAAACCAAAAGACAGAGGGAAGCCCAGTAATTTGGACGAGCCGGTGTGCCGGGTTTGTTCTAAAACCATCTCAACAAAAAGAGCGAATACGACCAACTTAACTGCACACCTGAGAGTGAGAGACTGACAGTCTATTTTTTGTATTTATTTATTTATTTATTTATTTCCATATATTTTTACGTGTTATTTCGGATATTTAAATTTTCTTTTTTGCACTCCTAAATATTCTTGTTAAATAAATGTCTTTTCTCATTAAAAGTGAGTACTTGCAGCAATATGCCTTTTTTATCATTATATACGTTTAAAAAAGGGTCTAAAAACAGCAAAATTACAACAATAATAAAAATTGTCTTAAAAGCACAATATCGCAATAATTTCTGACGCAATTAGCAAAATTTGTTATCGTGACAGGCCTAACTGGTGGCAGAAAAACAGTGGACACTGGAGAGAAACAGTTGACATACCCGGAATAAAAATGTCTTCTTGTGTAGTTGGATGTCTTAACAGGAATACAGATTAAGATAACCTTCATTTTTATGGAAAACCATTGCAGAAGATGCCGTAGTAGAAAATAAATTCAATCGTTCCCCATGCTTCTTGCCTTGCTTTTGACAACATCCAGTTCACTGTGGAACACACTCTCACACAGCAGTAAACATTTTGGCTGCGCTGTCTGCTCCAAACACTCTGCTTATAGGACCAACTTATGTTTAGAAACTATATATTTTAGAAAGCAGAACGAGGGCAATTGTCTGGAAACAGATATTTTTACATACTCTCTATTCTTTTTTTTCACACCTGTCCAGACCTGGAAATTACTGAAATCAGATTCCATACCTTTCCAAACTCTGCAGGAACCCTGTCATATACAGATACTTAAAGCTGAGAGCTCTTGACATGGTAGAGGTGTGGTCAGGATGGTAGCTAGTATAAAGACGAGGGACTGCTGATGTACCTGCTGGGGAGCACGGCCGATAAAGGTCTTAGGGTCCAGTATGGCGTCCAGCTGCCCCAGAATGGGCGCAAAGTAGGGGTCTTTCTGAACTCTCTTCAGCAGGTCGTTATCACCGCCCTCCTGTTTGACCACAGCCGCTGCCTCCTGCGACAGAACACGAATCTTCTCGTGGCAGTCCTGAAGGAGTAAGACATGTTATTTAAAGCACAAGGGTCAGGACACAGTGGGCTGTTGTTACACACAATCAAAAATCAACACCAGTACCTGTCTGTTGCCTCCAGCCTTCACCATGGCCATAATGATGTTCTCTGTGGCCATGAAGGGCAGCTCGTGACGGATATGTCTCTCGATGACTTTGGGGTAGACCACCAGTCCCTCTGTGATGTTCTGCAGAGTGCTGAGGATGATGTCAGCCGTCAGGAAGGACTCGGGCAGGGAGATCCTCCTGCACGTGGGCAAGGGGGTGGAAGGAAGCGGGAGAGAAACACCTCTGCATGATCCAGTACCATATTTGTACCATTACACCTCTAATGACAAGCAACAACCTCTTATTAAAAAACTGAGTAACTCTGGGTTGACACAAGCATGTCAGAATATCTCCCACATGCAGTGCATATGT